AATAACAAAATAATATTATATGTTCTAAGAATAAAAGTCACACAAAAATAAAAATGATGTTTAAATTTATTTTCACAATGAGTGCTCCGTACATCAGGTACATGAATAGCAATAGCAAGACAAGAAAAGTATAAGTATATTTGTTTTGTGGAATATTGATTAAGTAAAACACTGATAATAGTCATAACAAAATCGTTATTGGTGAAATGGTGAGTTTTGGTGGCTTGGTGCAATAACAGTTTGAATGAAGTACGAAACCCGGCGTCGATGGTTTTTAGTTTTAAAAAAATTGTTTGTTCTTTCAATGATCCCACACCGGAAATCCGGAATAGATTAGGGAATTTGCCCGAATCCTCCCTTGCCTATATAATTGTCGAGTCGGGAACACCCAGTGTCGATCCTACATAAACTCGGGCCTGAGTCGAACTTTCATAAAAGGGCCTTATACATAGTATTTGTTTTGTAATACTCCGTACAACATATTTAGAACTAGAGGATAAATATCACAAAAACTCAATACTTAAATAAAATTCTTACGTTATAACATAAAAAAATCACAATTTTGATTAATTTTGGATTGCAAATCACACAATTTTTTCATGATAATCTTAAATAAAAAATAGATCTAAATTCTCAAATATAAAATTTCACTTGCAAGGCACGAGCCAGCTTGACTACTTTGTAAAACAAGAATCAATTTACTTTTAATTTTTAAATAGCATTTGTTTATGCAGATTGCAGATACTTTAAATCCCAAACAATAATAAAATATTTAGTCAATAGTTATAGCAAATAGAAAATAGAAGTTAATAAGTTAGTTCATTGGGTATTCACAAATCAATAATTTTCAAATTAGCAAATCATTCTAAAAACTAGATTTTTGGAAATAATAACATATCGACAAATTTGGGACTTCATATTTGTACTTCACTACCTGGTTCATAACTCTATTGTCCCGCATATTTTGTTACTTCTGTATCAGATGATTTAAACTAGACAACCAATGCAGCTTTTGTTTTTTTTAATAAATAGATATAATATAAATGTATTTAAATTTTTGGGCCCCTAATTTTTAAATTTTTTTGGGGCCCCGAGGCACAAGCCTCACTGGCCTAAGGGAAGGACCGACCCTGGGAACACCCAAAGCAGGCACCTAGTAGTCTAGCACCTCTACTTGCCAACTGGCCTGAGTAAATTGGCCGGTTTTCGAGTGTGCTTTAGTCAAATTTTCAAAATCGTGAAATCGTATATACTCGCGATTTCAAACGATTTTTGTGATTTCCTAAGGTTTTTTTTACGATTTTTATTAATTCCGATTTTGTAAACGATTTGAATCGTTTTAGTGATTTTGAATCGTAAAATCGTACGACTTTACGATTCAAATCGCGATTTTAACAACCTTGGTTCTTGGATGGTCCAAACTCCAAAAGCATTATTAGTAATATGATTCTAGTTTCATATTTTCGTTTATGATAACACATCACTATAACACAAGTTCTGCTAAATACACATGTAGAGTTAGTATCAAGCACTTCCTGATTAATTAATGATTGTAATTATAGTAATAAATACAACAATGTAATATTATGTGATACTGATCTGGTTTGAAGTTTTGAAATAATCTTAGCCGGCCTTGGGTAGTTAGTTGGGTATAGTTGAAGAGACGAAGCCACTAAGGTCCTTATTGTGTTCATAACTTCAAGTGTTCCAAATTGTTCTAACAACAACCATTGTCCTAACAACAACCATCTTACATTCTAAACAAAATAACCATCATACCAATAATTTAAAACAATTCGTAGCTACTAGGGGTAGATTAAGGTTGGGCCTGGTCTGGTTCGGTTCAAGATCGACGAGTTCTAACTTCTAAGTAAGAGTAAAGGCCTAAAGGGAACCAAAACCTCAGGAGCTGGTTTCTTCTCTTCCTATTGTGGAAGAGCTGGGGTTGAAAACATATACCTTGCTCGGTTTTATATCTATCTGAGATCTTGTGATTTCTTGTTTTGTACGGGAACCATGTCCATCCTTAATGGCCAAACCCACTTGACCACCATTGCCATGTTTTAGGTGGTGCTTAATCGGCGACTAATATCTGGTTTTGGACCTTGATGCCCACAATTGTGCCCCCTCCTCTCATTTCTAGTCCCTGCCAAAAAAATTGAAGACCGGGTCTGGCCTGTATTATTCCAGTTTTGGTTTCATTCTTTCAATTTTTGAGCGGTCACTGGAACTTTCTTACAGACTAGCTAGCCGTAGGTCATGAATGGAAGAGTCTTGCCCATCCCAATTCTTAGTTCTCAGATGAAGAAATAACCAGTGATAAATACTCCGTAACATACTAGTCAAGTAAGGGAAGTAGATATATAACAAAAGCCCAACTGATGGCGTTATTTCCAAGACTAACTTACTTGGGGCGTCTAAAACAAGAGGTCTTGACTAAAATATCAATATTCAATAATAATTGTATCATAGTCACTACATCATATTAACTTTGAACACAATTATAGTTATTAAAAATTATTTAATTAAAATTTTGTCTATCACTTGACATAGTATTAATGGAATTTTTTTCCTAAAATAATATTGAGATATAACTTCAATGTATTTACTTTTGAGATGATCAACAATATTTATTTTTGATAAATAATTTCAATGTACTCCCTCCGTCCCTCTATTAACTTCCTACTTTGACCTACACACATATTTAGGAAATAAATTTGATTTTACTGTTTAGACACTGTTTGACACTATTTAGACACTGTTTGGCACTGTTTGGATGTAGGATAACTTTCCATTTAGGGAAATGAGAAGATGATTTTGGGACGGCCCAAAAAGGAAAGTAGGAAGTTAATAGCGGGACGGAGGGAGTATCTTTTACTAAAATGATATAAAAAACTCTAACATGAAATAGATAGCAGTGCCATAGACAGAATAAAGTAATAACAATAATATGGGCCGATAAAATGATTTTTTTCTAATAAGCTTTTACACAATTTTTAACATATACATATAAAAATTTTACAAATTTAGGGTGAGTTGGAGCGTGAAAAGGACCCCTAATTACACTTCTAAATAGAAGCAAAGTACAATCCAAAATGCACCATATATTATACCAATATAAGTTAAAATATAGGTAATTCTTTGAATGAAAAAATAAAAGATGACCAAAAATACATGACCAAAAATACATGGAGATTTTAATAGCCTGTTATTCTTCCTACTTTTTAATTAAAGAGATAATGTGGTAAAAAATCACTACAATCAAGACTTTGTTGACAATTTTTAGTCAAGGCAACATCTCAAGCTAGCCACACCAATTCACCAAATATGCTTAATTGTAGACAATATTTTTATTTAATAGTTACAGAGTAAAATAATGGTTCTTCACAAAAATGCTACATGTCAAGTGTAGTGATTGTGGTAGTAAATTTATTCATACTAACTCCTTAAATTTTTACACTATAATAACTATGACACCAGTGCCATTTTTAATTAGGGGGGTCAATAGGTTGTCTAGAACAAGGCCCCCGGATTTGCGAGGCTCCAAATTTTTTAAAAATTTATTAGTATTATGTAGTAATGTTATATATTAATTCTAATCAGTAAAATATAGTTACTAAGAAAGAAAAAAATAGATACATTATTTTTTCATTGGTCCTTTTACTCTTTTAGTTCTCTTTTAATGAGTATTCAATTGATTTGAGTATAAATATTTGGATTGAGATTCTTTTTAATTTTTTTTGCATTAATGTGGACCCTTGATTTTACATTTAGAACCAGGGCCTAGCCTCCAAATTCATTTGACGGCCCTGTATGACACTACATTATACTACCTCCATCCCACTAGCATTGGGAGATGAGGAGGTGCCATGGTTAAGAAAAAAAAGTGTTAATGTGTTTGATATGAGACAATTTTAGTGGGACTTCATGAAAAAAAATGGGACAATCTTAACGGGACGAAGAGAGTAGTAACTATTAATCATACACACATACATATTCTATTTCAGGAATAATGCTTCAAAACCTGTTTTTGTATCAACTTTGGTTTAAAATAAGTTTTTATTAATTCAATTAAATAAATGATTAAATGGAGGCCATACTAAATCTGTAGGCCGTGGACAAATTTCCATTACTCTCATGGTACTTTGAAACGTTTCTGACTCTTTAATGTTCCAATAAATTTTTCAGAGCACCTCAATTATAAAATCAAAGTTATATTTTCCGTTTTGTAAAATTAGAGTGCGGTAGATTTAAATATTGTGTATGTACTAATAATTTTTTTGAATGAAAATTACCGATCCCCTATACTAGCAAAAAAAATCGTCCCCCTTGAATTTAAATTACGGATTCGTCCCTATTTCAATTGATGATTTATATTTCAATAAATCAGGAGAAATCATTATTATCAACCAAAAGAAGCACGAAGAATCTAGAAATTTCTAACCTGCACGGGTAACTGAGTTGATCGAGTGATCAGAAAGTTGAAGGAATGATAAATGATCAAAACTAGCAGCGGTCGTGTGGAGGTTACAACTTCTATGTGCTGGATCGGACTTCGAGTTCACATGAGTATAAGATCTACAACCATTGAGCTGATTGACCCACCATGATTTATAACCTCTTATATGTCTTGTCAGATCAAGACATGAAATATTGAAATGCTTTGGAGTTTGGATTCAACCTTAAAAAACAACTTCAAGTATACGTCAAAGAACCAATGTGCAACGACAGTTTTGCTTAGTTGCACACTGTGACCATTTCCTGCATAGAGATAGAGATAGATGATAATCCCTAGTTAGCGTCTTGCTAAACTTTTAGAATTCCAAATCTAGATGGAAAAATGTTTTTGATGATAGTCCGTAGTTAGTGTCTTGCTAAACTTCTAGAACTCCAAATCTAGATGGAAAAATGTTTTTTTTGAAAGAAGTTTTTTTTTTAAGATAGATAGTAAGTACCTAGTTAAAAGATGTTAAAAACTGACATTGAGTTCCACTCTGTCGCAGAGCAGGCGAACCAGCGAATGGGAATTGGCCGCGTGAACTGAAAGTGGAAATCCTACTACCACTGTCACGTGGCCAGTGGCCTCACATCTTTCCCCTGTGCGCAAATAATAATCCGCACATTTACGTAGTGTTAAATACGATCAGGAAGAAATCACTTCCTTTGCTCCGAAGTTAATTGCCAGCCTCGACGTTTTCTTAGCCTCATCGCCTTCTCCACCCTGAAAACAACACTATATATCCCAAAGACCCTTTCTTTCTTTCCTTTCACTGCGAGCTTGCATCCTATTCCTGCTCAAATCGGTTAGTTCCCTAGCTCCTCTAAGTCAACTCTAGGGTTTTCATTTCTTTCCGATTGGATGAATTACCTTGCATTTGATGCGTGTTTCTCGAGTTTTCAGCTCTGTGCATTATCTATTGAAATTCCCATTCTTGAATCATTCTTGATTGAAAAAGATTACGTTTTGAATTGATGTTGTAATTTTTCGATCAATGGGTTTCCTCTTTCTTGACTCTTCTCTTTTTAGGTTTTAGTTTCTTTGATTTTGCTCGGAAGTTGATGTTTGTTCTTGGTTATTAATTTATTATTGATGTTGTTGCTGCGTTTTAAGTGATCAGGGATTCAATTCTGATGCTCTGTTGTTAGGTTGTATAGTGATTTTTGCCCTACACTTTTACTAATGCAGTTGGAAATAGTGGAGGTGAAGTTTTTGTGTTTGGGGCCTTGCTTTTACTTTTGCATCTTTTTGAGTAGCTTAAGCAAAAATAAGGTTTTGTTGTGTGAAAGAAGAATTTTGGAGGTGAAGGTCTCATGAGAATTGTTAGGGGAATGCAGAAATTGATTCAAGAGGAGAAGAGGGATTCTAGCTTCTACTCAAACAGCTCATTCAGCCAAGGGATTGGTGTGACTGCACCAAAGGCCAGGAAGCGTGACAAATTGAAAGCCAAGATTTTCATGTTCCTCTAATAATTTCGGTTTAGATAAAGTAGTTCTAGACATACAAAATGACTCGGATACTTGTTCAACGGGGTACTAGCGGGTCATCGTCCTCATCATCATCGAACCAAAACAGACCATTAACGTCATTGCCAAGTTCATCATCATCTTCTTCAACTCCAGTTCAGCCGCAAACAAATAGCAATGAACCTGGAGCAGAGATTCAAGATCAGATTTCTTTGGATGAGTCATCAGTTGATGGTTTTATGAACAAGTCAGTGAAATCTGAGGACTCTTCACCAGAAAATTTGAACACTAACTTGATCTCCCATGAAGTGAAAATAGTGGATAATAATGATTTTGTTTCTGATGATCTGCTAAAAGGACTTGGTGGACTGAGAGTTGTGGAAGAAGAGGAAAATGATGGAAGTTCTTCACGAACAGCATCTGGTAGTTCATATCCTCCTCCTCCTCCTTTGCCGCCCCCAAAACCTGCTTCTATGAATAATTCAATCTCGAAGAGGTATCCAATTGGCAGTTCAAGTTCTTTGCGAAACAGGTCCCGGCCATCTTCCCCCCGGTCTCACTGTGAAAGTGAAGGTTATAACAGCGCTGATGAACAAAGTCCATCTTTTGGTCCCTCCTATGATGATGCGGTAAGTGCAGAGCAGTTCTAGTGTCTTGTAATTGAAAAGTTTGTGTCTGTCTGTCTATCTATGTTACTAGTATTTTAGAGGATTTTAGATGCAATTCTAATTACTTGTAAACATCTCTACTTGTATCAGGAAAGAGAACGCCAATTTGAAATTGACCTGAGACAAGTTAAAGGTCTTGAAGTGAAGAAAATGATGGAAGATGGAAACTGCCTCTTTCGAGCAGTTGCTGACCAAGTGTATGGTGATTCTGAAGCTTATGATTTGGTTAGGCAGATGTGCATTGATTACATGGTAATTGAAACTTTTTTGGAAGCCAGATTTCAATTAGTCAATTCTGACACAGCCTGATAAGTACATTTTCATTATGGTTTTAGGAGGTATGTGTGAAGGATTTGGATCCTAACTTTTGATCTATCCTCATATCTCATACTCCCTCCGGTTTTTATTAAACTTCACACTTTCCTTTTTGGGATGGCCTAAAATAAACTTCACACTTCCTTATTTCCTTTTTTGGCAAAGAAATCTACATCAAAACAGTGCCAAACAGTGTCTCAACAGTGCCAAACAGTGTCTCTACAGTGTCAAACAATGTCAAACAGTGCCTCAACAGTGTACTCTACAGTAAAGTCAAATTTCTTTGCTTATTTTGTGTGAAGTCAAAGTGTGAAGATTAAATAAAACCGGAGGTAGTATTACATAGGAAAATACTTTCAGCAATCTGCTGAACTGGTGGTTGTTTGAATTTGCATGTAGAGCACACTTGAAATTTAAGTGTAGCTTTAATCTCATGAAACATACTTTGGTATTCATTAACCTGATGCATTCCAACCGTTGTGGAATGGTATATCCTTTTAAGGGATGTGCAAGATTTTATTACATTTAGTTTTCTCTTATTTTTTTTAGCCGTGCTTTATATGGTTTTCCCGTCTTACTCCATTTCTCTATCTTCTCTTTTTCACTGATTTGATTACACAGATCAAGGAACCACTTGGCTAGTTGGTTGTCTTAAATTTATTGTGCTGGTCATATCCACAACATGCAATTAATAGACATGTGTGGTATTTTTATTTTTATTTTTTTATGCATTATAACTTGATTTTGCTGGTAGGTTCTTCTGATCTGGTCTAATCATTGATCGTCTATTGTTGTTTCTGTTCATTTATTGGTAATAATTGTTTCACGTATTCAATTATTTTATGTTCTTTTTCTAGGAACGTGAAAGAGACCACTTCTCTCAGTTCATAACAGAAGGTTTCAGTTCATATTGCAAGAGGAAGAGAAGAGATAAGGTATATGGTTTAATTAATTGTTGAAATGAAAAGTGATTTTTTATTGCACAATGCATATGTCTCTCATATGTCTATTTTACCTTGTGGCAAGCAATCCTGTGCTATTGATTTATATGTTATCAATTACTCATATTATGTTAATATTAATAAATTCATGTACGGAACAAATAACCAAGCCTATTATTTGGGATGTTTTATGAAGCATGGGGGATTGGAGGTGTTTGGATGTTATCATGGTAGTATGGGAACCTGACATGAAATGTATATTCCTTATATTGTGAAATATTACAAGTTTTCTGGTAAATACCTTTTAGAATTGTAATCATTTATATCTAAAAGTTTGGGCATTACCCCTTCAGTGTAGGTTTGGGCAAACACTTTTTATGGAAAAGTTTTTTATGATGATTTTTATTGTGCTATATTATATCCAGCTGCATACAATAAATACTCTGGCAAATCTTACATTGTAATCCATAAGCCACATTTCCCCAACTGGATGGACATATATTTTTATTATACCAAGATCATCTGTACTAATGGTTTGTAAATCTACATACTAATCTGATTCTTGTGGCTTTGGATGGCAGGTTTACGGTAACAATGTTGAGATCCAAGCGTTATGTGAAATGTACAATCGGCCAATCCACATATATTCGTATAGCACAGGTGGCATTTTACTTCAATTTATGATGAAAATTTCTAACCATCTATAAATATTAAGCTTCCTTGCCCATAGCAAATTTTACTTAATGGAGTTACTTGTCTTATGCAGATCCGATCAACACATTCCATGGAAATTATAATACAGACACCCCTCCTATCCGCTTAAGTTACCATCACCGTAATCATTACAACTCCCTTGTTGATCCCCGTCGGCTAACAATCGGTGCGGGACTCGGTTTTAGCTCTTTGCAAGGGGTAATAGTTTACAACAAACATTTCCATACTGTTTTGCTTAATAAATGCTTATATTGCTATGATGATTGATGTGATTTCTTGTACTACAGAGGAGTGTTGATAAGGATCAAATAAAAGCAGCAATTAAGGCACAACAAGACCAACAAATTGATAAGACCCTTCTAGCTGAGGGATGCTTTTACTCGGATCTTGAGCTGACTGAGAAAGAAATAGAACGTATGGTGATGGAAGCTTCCAGGGCAGAATATCTTGCCAAACACAAGTTAAAGCAACAACCCGGTCACAGAGAGTCGTCCACCTCTGGTGCTGAACCATCATCTTCTGGAGCTAGTAAGTGCGAGTTTCCCTTCAATTGTTTTCAGGAAAATGACTAACTTTCAAGAAAGCAACTTTCTGTTCGAATATGGAAAGTTAGGTATGCGAGGGAAATGCTCAGTTAAGGGAAATAAGATGCAAGGAAAGATATTTTGTGTGTTTCGTTTCAAGTGTAAATGAAAATGAAATATGATTACTGCTTTTACCCATCTTTACTACTCTTTCAATGGTCAAATTGCATCTTTGTTTTATCTAACTATCTTCTATAGCTTAAAATTATAAAGTTATAAACTTGTAACACTGCTTGTCTTGTAGAACTTTTGACGTAGTTTTTAATTTAAAACTTTGATTTGCTTAAATAAGTTCAAACAAGTACCATCTTTTTGTGTTTGATTGGGTGTTCTAGTTTCCCACACATTTTCTTTCCTTCCGAATTCCCTTTTCTCTCTATTTTCCCTCCATAGCATCTTCCACATTCTTTCCCGAGTATTTTCCAATATCCAAACATACACCTAAAGAATTAAGATCATTATTATACTTTGGGATAACATATTTTATAATATTGGTAAACACACGAAACACGGTATAACATATTTATAATATTGGTAAACATATGAGCCATTTAGTTGTTGGCTGACATGGATTATAGGGTCACCAGGAAGTGAGAACAGGCAGGAAGGAGGGCGGGAGGTGTCAAGGTTGCCAGAATGTGTTCTCAGTGACAGCATGCAGATTATGCTGTCAATGGGATTCGGGCATTCACAGGTGATTGAAGCTTACAGCATCTTTGGAGAAGATGTGGACTCCATGGTTTGTTACCTTGTAGAAACCAGCAGTAGCAGTAGCAGTAGCAGAAGACGCAAAGGAAAGGCAACAGAGTAATTGTGGTTTCTCTTATAGATTGTTATTAAGAATATTGTTTTCTCTCATTTGTCGAACTATAAACTGCTGCTAGTAGTATTGTTAATCCAATCTACACACTTTGTTGGTGTATCCTTCTGCATTTGTGACATCCTCTTTGTTTCATCTACTAAAAGTCACCTCTAGGCTCTAACTTCCTAGTTCCTACCATCATCACATGGAGCACCACTTTCCTAACCTAACCTTTGTAGAAAGAACATCACAATCTTCTTTTTACATGTATTTAACAATTTATCCTGCTCTCTCTACCTTAGGCACTCCTGTCCAAGTGCTTAAGGTCGTGATCATTGATGTAAACACTAGCGAATAGTCTTAAGCCATGTTTTCTTAAAGGCAATTCCCAAAATCTAATAAAACCATGCATATTTGCGGATGGTAAAACTTGTCATGTAAATTGGTCATGGAATGCTTTATATAACAAGACCCTTCATGAATATAAACAAGAATGTTCTTTGGATTTTTTGGATTGTGGTGACAGGAACTTGGTTGACTTGTGAGAAGAGGTGATGTCCCTAGTTTAGGAATTAGGAGGCTATGTGTTGTACTTTTCTCATGGCCATAGTGAGTCAGTGAGCAGGTTTAGTTTTTGGAAATTTATCGAAATAGGAGTAAAAACCATGTGATATTCCAAAATAATTAGTGTTTTACCCTTGATAGGGGTAAATCATATATCTAAAATAGAAAAGTTGAACACAATATATTGTATAAAAGTTTTTTGTAGCGTGACTTAACTATGAAATTGTACATGGTGAGGACATGAGGTGATATGAAAATGGTTAAGATAAGAATAACCCAAGGGATGACTTAACTATGAAATTGTACATGGTGAGGACATGAGGTGATATGAAAATGGTTAAGATAAGAATAACCCAAGGGATACTACATACGAAGTATATGATATATTGATATATCACTTTGCACAATAATCTAATCATTCTAATGAGACCTTTTGTGCCTAAAGAAGCAAGGCATAAAACCTCGTGAGATAAGTCCTCTCACTAATTTGATTTGAAAGAGTTTGAAATAAATGTGCAGACTCCGGACCCGTTTGGTAGCACGGAAATCGGCTGATTTGGTTGATTCTGCTGAAATTTATGAAGTTCTGGCTGAAGTGGCTGCATTGGCTGATTCTGCTGATATAAGAAAAAAATATTTTTAAAATATATTATATCAATAAAATAAAGAAAAAAATTATATGTAAAAATAGCTAAAATGATCATCTACTGTATCATCAGCCAAAGCAGTCAGAAAAGTAACTCCAACCTTACTTTTTCTGCTTATTACACAATTCAGCGCGCGAAAGCAAAAGTTACGTGTTTGGTGAAAAAGTTGGCTGATAAGCCTGATAAGCCGAAAAACAGTGGTTCCAAACGCCCTCTCCGTGTATAAGAAAGAGTATAAGATTTTTTTAAGAAAATGAAATACAAACTAGTTGTAACTTGTAACAAAAACAATTTATAGCAATATGAGAAACCAAATTATAGCATTATGAGAAAATTTTAGTAAATGAAAGTTTTAAAAGGCAGGTGAAAACAATTTATAGCAATATGAGAAAATTTTAGTGATAAATTTTAGTGGTATATTTTAGCATCCTATTTAATATTTATTTAGGTTCACAAAGTTAGATTAGTGATAAATATATAAAATCCTCATTTCGACCATATGTACTCCATAGATGTCTTACAGATAAAGAATAAGAATTAATTAGAAAATTGAAACTTGGCTATCCTTCCTAGGGCAAGAAAAGATCCCATTTCGCTTTTAATTTGTACTACCACTGTCCCGTTGGACTTTGCCAAGTGCAAAGTAGATGAGAAATAAGAATAGTAAAAACTGTGTGGTTGAGATTTGTGCAAAGTAGAGAGAAGTGTGCAGAACCACAAATTAGTTGTTTTAATAGAAAAGTGACAAAGTTTTTTGAGACAACAAAAAAGGGAAAGTTGACAAAGTCCAATGGGATGGTGGGAGTATATTATAGTTTCGATAAGAGGTTTTTGATGGGGTGATCGGCTATTTGTTAGAGAGGAAGTATATTAGTAGTAAGGACCTTATTCACACAACGAAGAAATGAAGCCGAGTATGTAGAAGCTGATACATATATGAATTTGTAATTGCGATATTAAAGAGAAGAGAGCAACAATGACTGATTTGTTGTACAAATATTGAAATTAACTCAAAAGTTATACTACGTATACTTCAAGTGAGTTTTAACAAAACATTTTCTTTTTACAGCATAGAGAAAATTGTTAATCTTTGAGTTAAGTAAAGATTGTTGGAGAAATTCGCCGGATAAACCTGCAAAAATTCATTAGAAAAATAATCTAGCTCGAGTCGCGTAAACGCTGTCCTCAAGAAAGTATTTCTGACTAGCGAAAACCTTTCCCCAAGAAAAAAGGAGCTCTTCGGCGTAAGCCGGTGACAGAACAACGAGAGTAGAAAATTATTAATCCAGCAAAGATGTAATATATATGGGGGTTTGAATTCGTAGCTACTACTGAAAAATAAACAAAGAACCGAGGATACACAACTTCAGTGGCAGATGAGCTTCAAAGCTAAAAGTTATATACGAAGAATATCTCATACGTCAAAATGCATCCATCTAGTATCGTGTATGTATGGACCCAACAACAAAATGGAACATTGATGTACAATTAATATACTTTTAATAATACTAATGAAAGCCATGTACGAAGTATAAGTAACGGTTTTCAACGTTACGTTGGCACAAGCTAGATAATGATCACTTTATTATAATTATTATAATAATTAATAAAATTAACTCTAATGTAACGTGTGTATATATAGAGTAGCAATGTTAATAATGTTAATCGTAACTAACCATGCAGCCAACGTAGTTTTAGAAGAGATAGACATGAAAATGCTATTATAAATTAATGATATTAAAAGTTACCTGAACAACATTATTAAGGAAAATAAAAATCACTTATATTACTCCCCGTACAATATTAATAATAATATTTTATTCATTTGAAATACTCCTATTTTTCCAACAAAGATAACATACATGCTGAAAACGTTCAAATAAATGAGAAGTCAATACGAGTTTAAATCATGTATATTTAAACTCAACTTTAACATAACTCTAAAGCTTATTTTTATCCATTTAGACCTATAGCATAAACTAAGCAATTGAATTAAATATTTGTCCGTGCACCACACGGGTTAAAATATAGTAGAATGACAATGGGTGGAGCAAAAATAACGGACACAATAAGATATACATGATTTAATTGTAGAATAATTAACTCAAAAGTATAAAGGTAATGAGTATATAAACTAATTAAGTATAATAAGTACAAAGGTAACCAATCGTACCTAGTGCACAAAACTAGGGCGAAACTTACACACGCTTAGCTTTGTGCACAAAACTAGCATGAAACTTACACATTTCATATGTTGGTTATCAACTCAAACCTTCAAATTTAAACACACTTCAACTATATTGATCGACCAATTTTCTATGTTACAAAGTACGAAACATAACTAATGGTCTGCACCTCCAAGCTGAGTCATGTATCAATGTGCGACTTTGATTCTTTGAGCACATGCACTGTAGAAACGTTTACAAGTTTATGAAAATGTCATCATGTTATAAATGCACAAAAATACCATATGAAGATAATTAGATGAATTAAATAAATAAAAATATGATTTGAAACTAATAAGGAAATAGCATTCTTTTGTAAATCATCAATTACTAACCATGTTGGGAAATATCATGAATATGATATGGTGATATTGTAACCATATATGACAACTCTCTTCCATCAACTTTCTTTTAAAACCAAACATATAATTAATGAGTTCTTTTCATTGAGATCATTAAATCACACAAATTTCACGTGTCAAATGCAGAAGCGTTATATAGTATCGTGTATGCACGTACCTGAACTTTCATCATGAGTACGTTGTGTTAAGAGATGAAGTTCATTCCCCCACCCAAAATGATCTATTATAGTAGAATCTGCCAAGATAGAGTTGTGCTAAGTTAGTCTATGTAGTATGGTCTATGTAATAATAATTATTCATCAGTGTAATGTTGTTATGGAGATTTTATATGAACTATTTGGGTACATACCTTCACAAAGAATTGTTTCATCAATTGAAGATTCTGTGAAGAAATCAATGAGTGACGGAGCAGTGATAGAAGTGTTTTCCACTTCTTCATTATTGATCATTATTGTCCAAGGTGACACTCTTATTGGAAGATTTAGATATTTATAGGATTCACCCCACTTCACCTTCAATGAAAAAGATTTGAACATGAATAAAATGAATGTGGTATAGAAAGGATGACACCCCATCCCTGAGGGCCCCCCACCACCGACCAGACGGCACGATGGGAGGATGTAAATTGGACTATAATCACAATCTGACATATAGAGAGTGGGACTCTGTCCCCGGTACTTGCAGAGGCCCTATGCATTTTTCAGCATAGTAACCCCTCATCGCAGTTGCCGGGATTCGAACCCGAGACCTAACCCTTGTGGCACTCCCTTGCTACCAGTTGAGCTACGTCCACCGGTAAACTAAGGTATGGGTAAACTTTTTATAATGACTAGCTCCACCGCTTTCACGGCCCCTTACCCCAGAAACCCAACTTTGGCTTGGCCCTACGGGTTAGTATACACCGCTTGGCCCTACCACTTGAAGGGTTTTTTGGGGGAGCATAGTTCCACTGGTGCTAGTGGGACTCGAACACGAGACCTCTCCTATGCAAGGATAACCTCACAACCAGCTAGGCTGGAAGTGATGGTTATGGTATAGAAAATATATTGGATGTGAATGTAGAAGATTCAAATTTTGATATAAAACTATGTAAATACTCCCTCAACCCCTTAAAGATCTTTCTCTCTTCTTTTTAGGACACTCCTATTTAAATTCCCCTTTCCTTATGTAGTAAACAAATTCATCATAACAATTTACCCTCAAGTGGTTATGACTTTGTAACGTCCAACAATATCAATCCAAGTGTCAAATAGTATAAAATAGTAATATTTACCCTCAGAAAATGGATATTTCAGGAGTGAAGCGAAAAATCATTATTTTCTTAATGTATGTTCTATTTAAACTAGGGAGGGGAGTTCTTTAATGGGCGAAGGTACTATTATTAATCATAGAGTATTAATTTACTTTCAAGAAAAAGATGAACATTTAATAGCATGGAGAATTTAGTTTACCTTGATACAACGCCATTCTGAGTTTGGCCATTTATTTGAATCAACATCTCCAACCTCAACAATATCACCATATGCCCTATTCAATGAGGCATAAATTCCATGTTAATCAGCTACATAGTTTAAATGCATATTCTCCATCAAAAATGATCCTGTCCGAACTTTCGGACAGGATCCTCCGTCCGAACATCCTTGTTTGGGGTCCTTCCCGGTGAAATTCTTTTATGAAATTTTTGGAGCATGTTCCTCATCAAGTCTAGTTTGTCCATACCAAACTTCAGCTCAAAATTCAATCGGGAAGGCATTCAAATCATTTTGTGAAGTTGACTGCGTTATTATATGTATATTTTGATGCAGTCAACTTCAAAAAATGATTTGAATACCTTCCCGATCGAATGTTGAGCTGAAATTTGGTATGGACAAACTAAACTTGATGAGGAACATGCAAAAACAATTTCATCAAAAAATTCCACCGGGAAGTGTCCTGATTGGCCATGTTCAGACGGTGCTCGGACCGGGAATGTTCGGACCTGAACATTCCTCTATTCTCCATTCCAACAACTTAGCATACAAAGTATATTATAAAAATGTTATCATTCTACAAGAATCATTCACTAACATTGTGGATCCCATTAGATTAGGATACATATCTCTCCTCTGGTATTCCATTGTGATTCTGTTTTTGATCACATGGTTGAAACAATAAGCCTTCATGTATTGCTCATACTGAATCAGAAACTTTGCAGGGCAAATCCTGTAGATTAAGAATAAAAATGCATGCATACACATTAAGAAGTATGTACACATTGATCTGGATGGAAACAAAATAATAGAAATGTATCAAAGTTAGAGTTACTCTACCAAGGGTAGTAGTATATTGTAAATGCAGTATTGGTACATAGAGCAATGTAGGCATTCGACAATAAGCCACGTATCATGCTAGAGCATGATATTGCTGGTGCCGGTAATTTTCTTGGATTTGTTTTGCGTCTGAATCCAACCCACAACTCATTATCGACGCCTCTGTAAAAAATACAAAAGAAAGGGAAAACTAGTAGTGTATCGTCTCTCTCTCTCTCTATATATATATATGTGTGTGTGTGTGTGTATACTTCCTTCGTATTATATTGTTTGACACAATATTTAAGGTAAAAATTGTAGGGGTAATGAGTAGTGTAGAAAAAAATAAGAGAGAGCGGAAAAGTATGAAAGAGAATATGCAAAGTAGAAAACTTACCAAAGAGGAAGTGTGTCAAACAAAACATACTTCCCAAAAAGAATAAAGAGACTATATATTTATTGTGAGTGTATTCATAAAACAACATATACCTCACAAAGAAGCAAATATCCCCGGCCACAAGACTCTTCTGTTGGACAAATGTGTTCCAACCACCAAGAAGAATGTAGCGCTTTGGATTGCCTGCATCAGGATATAATTACCCAAGTCAAACTATTAAAATTTGAGCATCATGTAATAGTAAGCACAATGTACAAAATACATATTGACCTTAAGTATTTTTTTGTAAGTGTAATAGCATTTATTTCTTTTATCAATAAGCTCTAAGTGCAAAACCAACTTTGATGCACACCAAATTCAAGATTTGTTTGTAAACATTCACAAAATTTTTAGAGTTAGTATTTTTCTCTCTTAAAAATGATGAGTCAGTAGTGTATTGACTAATTCCGTTTTCGTCAAAACTACAATCTGCTTGAATAAATGTGTCAACCTATTTTATGATTATTATTTAATTGGATATGCAATAGTTTGCACTTTGCACTACAAGCAAAAGAGAATTGTCACCCAAGTAACAAATTCTAACGAGATCAACAAATAATAGTTTCATTTTGAATTAAACATTTGGTACTTTTTGGGATTTTCCAAAAAATTCTTTACATTTCCCTTTTTGGAAAGTTTGTGTGACTACCATTCATTTACCTTTCTCTTACTCAACTACAACCATACATTTCCACTTTATTCCCACTTTCTTAAACTTCAATCCAAGTCAAACATAGAAGATTTTTTGCATGACAGAGATAGTAATATGTAAGATATGTGTATTTTACATGATATCGTTTCGGTCATTCAAACTAGGAACCTATCAAAGAAAGAGTACTGTTCCATGCATGAGCTCTCCCAAATAATGTTTCTTACCCATTTAATTGATTAACAAAGTAAAAACATGTTTCATTATATGAGTTTGCATAATAATTAGAAGCATGACTCCTTATAATAAAAATTCATCCATCACATACTCTTTGTAGCAATTATTTTAAAAATATTAAGATATTCCCTACGGTAGGACGTAAAGTTATTACTAATACTTGGGTCGATTAGAATGCATAATGACCCATAGGCATTTGAAAAATTTGAAAAATAGTTGGCTTAGATATGAAAAAACAGTTGGCCATTGCTTAAACTCTTCTTAAGGATGCTATTGAGTTGCCCACACCTAGCTGCTATAAGTCCTACGTAGAGAGTTGAAGGTGTTTTAGGTCTTGATTTGAACATAGGATGAAATTGAATTGAACTCCAATGAAGTAAGACTGACTAGACAACTTTCACCTTTGTCTGTGAAAGATAGGGCAGTAACTCCGAGTTGTTCTACCATTTCTGAATTTAATTCATTTAATTTTGCCAAAATAGAGTTTGTATTATCAAAACATGTCCTCCTAAACTCGCATTGTCCCTTCCATATGAGTTTTTCAACTCTCTGGTAAAAATTTTGTGTGAGTTTGTTTAGTATACTTGTAAACATACCATTTATGTACTCTTGAACTCTATTTCTATATGGTTTTCTAAAGAGCCGATGAGGTTAAACCAACCTCATAGGTATTAAAATAAGTATGATACAATTATCTATTTTAATACGTATGTTACCGATATATGAAAGGGTGAATGACCATTGATCCCCATGTAAATCCTTTGCCATGAAACTCTTTTTATGCAATTCCTGGAATGTGCCCGGCTACAACAGTAAAAGAAATATATATGGAACTATATCTCATACAAAAGAATTCAAATCCAAAGTTATTATTAACTTTATTCTGTATGTAAATTTTTGTTGACAAGTAATTAAATAAAATGGTTAAGAAATAATTATAATAAAAGATCCCTACAATGTTACTTACCAATCTTGTAAAAAAATCTTGACCCGCTACCTTAGGGAGATGTAGTGCAGCAGGATCACCAATGTCTGATGGGTTGAGCCTTTTGAAGAATAAATTTGAACTACCGCTAGTCATAAAGCAATAGGATGACACTTTTTCCCTAGATGATGAACTTTCTCCTTTTTGAGCGGTATTTGACTGATCATTTGATTTATCAGTGAAAAATGAGCTAAATGATACAAATATTTGATACTATTCAAATATTTTATCAACAACAATATAATAAATAAATTCAACTTTTTTTTTACCCCAGGAAGTAAATCTATCTTTGCAAACACTTCATCAGTTTTTGCATCAACCTACAAAAACAATGTAATCCATTTTGAGCTAACAGAAAAAGAAAACATATACAATGAGAAGAAACCTTCATATAAGTATAAGATTGATTAATGCTCTATATACCTGCAACTCAGAATGAACAACCTTGCAGAGAAACTTGTTTGGTAATTTATTAATATTTGCTACATCAGAATCTTCACCTTCAGTTGCTACAAGTGCTTCAGTCTACACAATACCTCATATCAAGTAGTCAATAAATGAGTAATAATACTTAAAGGAAGCAATATAATATTAAATCTATAAATAGTAGTGCTAAAAGTAAGAAATAATGGCTAATACGAAGTATATGACTATAATATGGATGTTGGAAAGATGCTACTTAATATCCGCAGTGCTCATAGTACTAACTTATAATAAATTATGACCACGTTCAATTTTATTTGTTAATTTTTCAAGACCATGAATATATATTATTAACAACTTTAATGTCACTTTTCCCATATATTTTAGCTCAATAATATTTTAATAAAACTGCAAAATTAAGTTAGACCTGTTCAATGTGGCCTTGGGGAAAGTAGAAGACAAAGTCTCCTACTCTAGGCACATCACGTTGTCCAGCACAAGCAAACCACAGTCTCTCACGGTCTGCATAAATTTCATCTAGCAAATTAGTATGAACAAAACACTCTAAGATCATCATAGGTAAAAGTCAATATTTGTAATAACTGTGATATGTGCAAATGAATTCCATATAATGTAAATGTATGGTACTTTTGAATTACATGATGAGTTAACAAAAAATACTTCAAACAAAAGAACTCTACTCATTCTATCAAGATACCTACCTAGATTTTATCAAAAGATTCTTCCCCAAAACTAAATGAAAAAATCACCGAAATCAAATTTTCTTTATTTAGTTGCTACTACTTCAGAAAATAAATAAATGTATATCTACCTTGATCAATGCACCATCTCTGAGGACCTTCATTTCCAATCGGCTTTTCCATGGCCATTACATCTTTCCCTTTTCCCTCATATTTCGTCTTCTCCATCTCTTTTGACTAGCTTGCACAAATTAAATGGAAAGCGTTCGATTGAAAAATGAGTATATGGAGAAAGGAAGAAAGGATGAAAACAACCAGGAATGTAGAAATGGAACAAATCAAGATAACTAGGAAGACTGAGTTGATCTTACTATCTGAAGAAAGTAACGACGAAGAGAGATATATATTCAATTCACATTGGAAGTATAGACTTCTCCGCCTGGTAGAAATGAGGATAAAATTTACATGGAAGCATATGCATCTCCGCCCGATATATTCATCATGAAGTGTATGAAATAAATTAAAAAGAATTAAAATTAAAAAAATCAAAATATTAATTTGAATACATGTGTACAAAATGCTAAATTTAGAAATGATACCATTTTGACATTTGAAGCACTTAGTTTATTGTGAAAATAGAAACAATTAGCACATCATTACAACCAAATCTTTTTAATACATACACTAGGTTTGAAGGTTTCACTAGACTAAACCTACGCCTTTAGGAACCAAATCCAGGAGAAGGTATATCTAAAACTTTTCCATCCCTCACTTTCAAGTATAGGTCAATAATTAAGAGGAAAATTGTTTTGTGTATTCCATTTATAATTGTTTATAGATTGTGTATATACAAATAATAATAATGTGAGTAAATTTACAATAAAAGTAGGATCTCGATACAAGGAAAGAGTGAGACATGTTCTGATCCATTGCGCTATTTTGTAATGTACTGGAACCCTTCCGATAGTGTGAGGTTCTAATTTAGATGCATTTTATAGTCTCATCTTGGTACCATATTGGTTTGAAAGGAAACATGACCTTGATTGCAATTAAATATCTCATTATGTCCCTTTGTCACTTTTGTAGGAATACAAGGTCTTTTTTATCACATTCTAATTAGTAGCACATTCCCAAATAAAAATGATATGTTATTTTACTTGAACCTGTTTTTGTAGCTCAAAAACTAGTTCAACTATGTGATAGTGTTACCTAAGGATCAGATGTACACATTGATCTGGATGGAAATAAAATGATAGACATGTATCAAGATAGAGTTACTCTACCAAGGGTAGTAATAGATTGTAAATGCAGTATTGCCACATAGAGCAATGTAGGCATGCATTCAACAATAAGTCGTGTATCTTGCTGCATCATGATATCACTGGTGCAATTAATTTTCTTGGATTTCTTTTTCATCCGAATCCAATAATAGTTCATTATCAACTCCTCTGTACAAAACAAAAAAGAAAGGAAAAACTAGTAATGTATTCTCTCTCTCTCTACACACACGTATATGTATATGTGTGTGTGTATCTATTGAGAGTATGTATATATAAAACAACCTCACAAAGAAGCAGATATCCCTAGCCAGAAGACTCTTTTCTTTAGTTGGAAAATGTGTTCCAACCACCAAGAATAACGTAGCACCTTGGACTTGGATCACCTGCATGGAGATATAATTACCTAAATAAACATATTAACCTAAAATATTTGAGCATCTTATAATATTAAGTACAATGTACAAAATATATATTGACCTTAAATATATAAGCCATTTCTCTCTTTCACTTGCTTAGTTTTGAATGAATGGTTTCGTTTGACGTCCCTGGTTATCCCAGATTGCTCAAGTCTTGATTCAAATGAGACAAGTATGGGAGAAATGCATGTCTGAACATTCAAATGAGACGACTATTAATATGATTCAGAATAAGGATACCTCAAATCCCAAACCATCCTTGATTCATGAGATAATTCTTCCCCAAGGTAATGTATTATATTCTCGGGTTTGGGATCACGTCATGTTGCCACAACTCGAGATGGAAGCTTGGTCAGAGGTCTGGCAAGTGGGCTTCTCTATTGGCATACACAGTGCATGGAGGTTATTAATGTAAGTTCACAGTCGAATGGTGGAAGAAGATCACAAATTTTCTCATATTCTCTATTCTAAAATAATGAAGCTAGAAGTGACAACCCAACGAAACCTTAACTTATCCAATTACTTTGCAAACATAAACTAATAATAATAATAACAATGATTATAAGAATATTTATTATAGTTCATTAAAAAAAAAGAATATTTATTATAGTAATACCACTACTAATAATAATAGCATTAATAATAATAATAATAATAATAATAATAATAATAATAATAATAATAATAATAATAATAATAATAAAGTAGAGATAATCATCAACTACAGGATTTGACGTTGTCACATATGTCAACATATTTGTCCTAGAAGATCAAACATGCCTATAAGCTTGGAGGGATAATATAAAGTTGAAATGTGTGACCCATAAATAATCACATGGTGGCATATATGGTTGTTGTATCACTAACTTTGAACAATGAAGTAAAACCTACAATTGAACTTGCAAACTATCATATCTTCCTGTAACACTGTAACCCATTTCACACTTTCATCATCAATGACAACCACATTAAGGATTTGAAATTTGATTCTTATTTAAGGACCATCAACAAGTAGTTGATTAGTCGGGATTATATGATTAGTATATTCTTTTCTGAACATATTATTCGATAGTAGTTGCATAGAACTTTGCGAGAATAGAACTCTGTACTGATATAAATCAACTTTCATAGGTTATAATTTTGTTCAAAGTGATATATGTAGTTGCTTTGGTTGTTCTTATGTTAATCATTTTCATCTCACCATGTACTTTTCATATATAGATATATATCACACTAAAATAAACATTTATACATTATAATGTATCCACCTCATTTTAGAAATAGAAAAACTAGAGAAAGTGTCAAATCGGTCTTCCGTACGTAAAGTAGGATATGATGATATTTACATACTTCGAGGACGTAAGTGATGAAATCTAAAGTACGAGAATTTAATTGACTCTTCGTACATAGTAGGGGAGCGATTTCACAGTTTTCTGAAAACTAAATTAGTATTAAACAGAATCTATGACTATTTTTTTTAGAAAAATAATAAGGTCTGATTCATTGGATAGAATAATACGTGAACTCTATTTCAATATAATATGGGTTTCAAAACTGACTTAGAATGTTTTTACTTGAACTAAAACTTTCTAGTCTGGTGTGATCTAGTTTGTTTGGTCTGAATTGGTCTAGTCTGGTCTGGTAAATCGCCGGTCTCAGTGTATTTTATAACCGTCAAAGTCTGGTCTGGTCTGATCTGGTATGGTCTGATCTGGTCTGGCCTAGTTTGATCTGAGATTGAAATAGGTCTAATTAAAAAAATCCTTACTGTGTAGGGCAATTTACTCCAAGAAATATGGCAATCCTAATTTAGAATATCATATTTTGTCACACACAAGCAAACAACAGCTTCATGGGCGGCATCAATTTTATCTAACAAATATAAAATGCATTAATTTCATGGGTAATCTAGATGAAATTATACAACTATGTTTGTTGCAATGAAATTGTAAAACTCCATTA